GTTTAATAACGTCACCATGAGCTATAATTGATTTTGTTAGCATCAGAACATGCCTTTATGTTCCAAGTTCTTTTTAAATAAGAGGCTTATTTAAACCTTTGTCTGATATTATAGTTTCAGACATAGCAATAATTTGCTTCACATCTGTCGGGGGGTTGAACTATTTAACTTTTACCAGATCAAGTGAACCCTCGTAGGTATATTGTGGAGAGGTTGACAAGTTAGCAGATAAAGCATGCAGAAACTAGTTAGAGCATTGGTTTTCTTATTGAGACAAATTTCTGGTTGTTAGAAAAGATACTTAAAGAGAAAGAAATCGATAAAAATTTGCCAAAATGTCTGGGAAGGCTTCAAATTTAAATGATGCATAAATATTTTGTTGAATGTTGTTGTTACAAGACATAAATGTTTTGTAACAACAACACTTTCAAAACCTACCAACTGTGCCTACAACAGGCTTTTCAGGTTTGTTCTAATCAGCAGGTCTCTCTCAAGACGAGCAACAGCGATGACAACATTCAGTCTTTTGTTATAAATCATGCTGATTATGATCTTACTTCTTATTTTAACCTATGATGCTTGATATAAAATCTACCTGCTATTTACTAAACCTCTAGACTGACCAAGTATGTGAAAAATGAGACATAAAAAAAAAAAAAAATCAACATAAAGCTAACTGTTTTTAAAATATAAATGTCACTTATCTTCTTTCAAATATATGCCCAACTATTAGAAGTGTAAAATATTTAATGCTACTTGTAAATTGCATAAAGTTTATTTTATTCTCAAACTTTAATTAATTTCAAACTTTCAATGTTAATTAATTCATGTTTAAATAATGTGTTATACTTAAGGATCTATTTTATTTTTAGAATGGTATTACAAAAGTGAAATTCAGGCATAGATATTTTTAATTGAATTTATTCAGTTCTCATTTGCTTATAGGTCCTTAATTTTTTTTCATTAATGGTCCTTAAAAGTCCTTAATTTCCCTGTGCAGAAATGTGTACAAACCCTGATACCCAATGTATCTGTTCAATTTTTGATGTATGAATTAATAATTGTGAAGGATATTCTGTGGGTTTTTTTTTTTTTTTTTTTTTTTTTTTTTTGTTTGTTTGTTTGTTTGTTTGTTTAACTTAAGGAAAAACTACTTGCAAATATATTTGCTTTCCGAAAGAGGATACCATGAACAGGGAATCTTTATAAAGTGCTAGAAATGCTTCCTCATATAGGTGTAACTTATAAAATTCCTCCTTGATTTAAAATAAAACTATTTATAATGTATATCTAATTACATGTCATCCATCTGGAAACTCTGGGGTAAATTTTCTGTGTACTAAGAGTGGAGTAGCAAAGGTACTGATATGCAGTGAATGTTTTCTGAAATCTTGAAATCAGTGCCACATATTTTTGATGTTTTCATTGCTTTGTTGTGATAAAATTCCAGAATAAATAGGTTTTTGCTATTAATAGGAGATTGTAGCAATTTCGATTTAATTTTGAATGTTGTAATTTAGGCATCTTTTTGCAATCTGGCTATTTTTTCATGAAAAAAAAAAGAAATGATGACATAAATTAAAATCATTATTTAATTTTATAATAACAATATTATTTAGCTGGCCATGCCATAAAAAGAAAAAAAATCATAAAGATCATTTATACAAGTATTATAAGTGCGCTACAAAATTCCTCAAGCATTTATTAATATCAAATTTCTAGAAGCTTTCACATCCTAAATTAACTAGATCTGAAGCATGTTAATAAAATTTACCTGCAATATTTAATTAGAATATTAATTTTGTTCTCATTAATATTATAACAACAAAATTTCATTTCAGTGCCAGACATCATCTTTACATTAATAATTTTTATCTAAATCAATGGTTGCCAGTCAGTGCCCTACTAGTATACCTCAGAGTCCATCAATTCAACTCTCATCATAAACTGAAAATTAAATAAAAGTGTAGATGCATGTAAGACTGAGTACAAGAATGGAACTAGATGAATAATTTGGTATTTACCCATATCAGCTCAACCATCTTGTAGAAGTAACTAAAATCTTCAGAATATCAAACTGTAATTGCAGAGTCTGCTGATTAAAATTGAAACACTAATACTATCTTCAGTTTTCCCGGATAACAACAGTCTCGTGTGTGTGATATAAAATTGTTCTATTTCGAACAGTATTGCAGCTGCTTTATTTCAAATTGCCGAATCTCTACATATAATAAAACAAAGAGTCTGTGTGTGTGTCTTTCGTTCATGCTGCGTGTAAGACCCACGGCTACAAAATTTGGTACATAGGTGCATCTAGACAAGAGCCAGTGCACCTCGAAGCAATTTTTTCGAAACTCGAATTTATTTTATTTTATGTTTTGTGACAAAATCGTGTAATTTTGAGACATAATGGGCTATAGGAAAGCGAGATTTTACACTACGCACTCCATTTTCACATCGTCATGAAATGTAGGCACTTGGCTATTTTACGAACTTAAAATAAATTTCGTGTTTCAATAAATCGATTAAATACGAATTTATTTAACAAAGTGAGCTTAACACTTTTTCAACGGGATTTTTTCTAAAAATGTTTATATTTAAAAATGTACAGTTTATTTTTCTTTGATTTTTGAACACGTTAAACTTTCATCCTTGCGACTGCTTTTACAAAAAGAATTTTGGAAAAATGATAATATTTTGTATTTTTAAAAAAGTTTTTAAATGAAGCTTCCGAGTACACTTCTCAAATCTCACATCTTTTTAAAAATGTGATTTTGGCAACGATTTTCCTTTCTTATTGTTGTTGATAGATTTTTAATAAAATCGCATCATTTTGAATAATTTCATTCTTTTAGAAATATGGGTTTGGCAACAATTTTTCATCATATTTCCTATGTCACTGTTTTTAAGAGATTGGCATATTTCATTGTCATTTTTAGATATATATATATATATACATTTTATTGATGTTTTTTATAAAGTTGTTCTGCAGAGTTAAATTGTGTGCGGAATTTTTTGTTTTTTGAGTTTCTTTCATGTTATTTTTTGCTTATTTCACTGTTTGTAAGATATTGAAAAGTTTTGCATTATTTTTTTTCTTCAATGGAAAGTTGGTTAATATTTTTATTAGGGTAATTAATATTTGTATTAAGGGATATAGCTTATTTCATTGTAATTTTTGGTGCTACTTTGGTAGACGCTTGCACGGATTTTGGCGAGTAATACGACTTATGGTAAACCCATTGCTGGATAAGTTATTTATGATAACCGATACTTTGTTGTCTGGCTTTCTTAATTAAAGATTTATTTATAAATTGTTAATAGCGTCAGAGGAAATTTATTTTAAATTTTTGGAGAAAACGTCACTAATTGCTTCTTCAATGAAGTGCGAGAGATGTGGATCACAGATGAAGATCGTTAGAAGACCTTTTCTTTTCTTTCTCTCTGTTTTTTTTTTTTTTTTTTTTTTTTTTTTGTGTGTGTGTGTGTGTGTGTGGTATGTATTAATATACGACTACGACAGGTAAAATACTTTAAAAAAATGTAAGTACATAATTTTCTTTTACTTTATAATTGTATACTTCAACTTTTATTAAAAAAATTAATACAATGTTTTCAAAAATTCCTGAGATATTTATTGCCACATATGTTTCAATGTTAAATAATTAAATCCTATAAAACTATTTTAAAGTATTTAAGTAATATTTTAATTATTTTAAACGTTGGTATGATGTTTTTAATTCAATATTCAATTTAAGTAATATTTTAATCCAATTAAATGTTGGCGCAATGTTTTTATAGTGGTGTTTTTATTCTATTATATGAAAGTAATAATAGTTTAATAATAAGTAATAACCTTACTTTAGCATTTTATACTCTTAGTAAATGTATTTATTTACATTTGCCAGCCATCTTAAAAAACAACGTTTTCAACAAAAAATTAATCCATTAGTTTTAAAGATATTTATTTTTTTAAATTTGTAATACTTTACTATATATGTAAAAATACGTAAAAACAGCATTTTTCAAGATTGCTGATGACTGTAAAAACCGCGCCAACAATTGCACCAATGTAAATCGCCAAAAATCCGTGCAACCGTCTACCAAAGTAGCACCTAATTTTTTTCTCTTGAAAATATAAGATAAAATATCATTAATTATACATTGCTTTTCAGAATTTTTTTGTTTTTTATATTCCTTTATGTTATTTATTGCTCATTTCACTGTTTTTAAGATATTGAAAAGTTTTGAGTGATTTTTTTAGGAAACAAAGTTCTTAACCTCCTTTATACCATTTGAGTTCTTAAGATTTTGCAAAGGGAAGTTGGTTAATTTATTTATTAGGATAATTAATATTTGTATTAAGGGATATTGCTTATTTCATTGTAACTTTGTTATACGTAATAACTTTTTTTTATGAAGTTTTTCTGCAGAGTAAAATTCTATGCAGTTTTTAAATTTAGCGTTTGGTGTTCCCTTCAGCCATTTTTCTGGTACATTTAAAAGCCAGACGAAGGCTGGCAGCGAAGCTGCTAGTGTATTAATAAAAAATTCATTAAATTTGTACAAAGTATGAAATAAATCAAAAACAAATTTGAAATTGAAAATTCCAGCTTCGAGGTGGGCATGCTTGGGCAGCAGACTCCACAGATTCTAAAGATTCTTCCAGAGATTATGTTACTGGCATTAATATTAAACTATTATTAAATAGGTTTATAATGTTTTTACTAGCATATAAAAAATAAGAATAAGAGAATGACCAAAGGAAATGAAGAAGATAAATATTAAATTTAATTAATGCTTTCTTACTTCTAATAATCTGTATTAATTATATTTTGGTCTGTGATAGTTTCTTTATTCAGTAGGTACAGATTTTCTCTAACAGATGTGTATTTAATAATTAAGAATTTCATTAATAAATACTTTTTACTTTTATGAAAAGAATTTAAGATAACCTGTGAACATTTGGATTTTTAATGAAATTATCTTTTCTTCTAAAGGTAGTTTTGATAGTGAGATTAATATGAATCATTTTGAAAAAAAGCAGAACTCTGGTAGCATGGCTTTGATTATTGACACAATCAAAAATCCATCCCATTCTTTGCAAGAGAAGAAATTGAAATTAAATCTTGAACCACTTAAAGGTAAATTTTTAGTATGTGAAAAAGTTATTAATATTGACTGTAAACAGATATTTATTGAATTCAGCTTTTGACATATTATGAAAAATATATGTTTTATGTATTAATTTTTAATTTGTATTACAAATGTTCATTTTCTCCTTCCTAGTTACTATTAGCAAAATTCAGGCCGATCAAAAGAGAAAATCAAAACGGAAGTTAATTGTGGATCAAGTGAAAACCTTACCTCATGAACAATTTCTGCAGCAATTGTATGATACTTCTGATATCATTACTACATTAAATTTAGGCCCTCCATCTAAAATCTTCATGAAACTCAAAGCTATTGGTAGTGCTGATCAATTACTTTGCCTTCCTGGCCAAGGCATAGGAAGTTCCAAAATTAAATATGTATGTTCTTAGAACACAAAACTTTTATATGTATATATATTCTATATTAATTTAAAACAAATTTAAAGTCAAAAAATCTATAACGAGTAAATATTTGGTTTTTGTGCTGTAATGGCCCCATTTTTGCCGGCAAATTCTAAAGGAGATAATTTTCATTTCTTTCGTATGTATTTCATGCTGTAAAAACAGCAGTTAAGAGATAAAGGATTTTGTAATAAACTGTATACAGGGTTGCCACGCTACCGGGAAAACCGGAAAAAATCAGGGAATTCAGAAATTGACCAAAAAATTGAGGGAAAAGTCAGGGAATTTAAGTGTTTAGAGTCAAAATCTGGAAAAGTCAGGGAATTTCATACAACGATCCCGCCAAAAAAGGCGAGTTTTGCGCCGACGTCGGAAGAGATCACTTTTTTGGCGAATTGTGTATCACATGTGTGTCATTCGGGCAGCTGGCATAGAGCCAATTTTTGCAGCTCCAATTTGATTGTCTTTTAGAAAGGCAAATCAAGTTTCCTGCAACTTTTGGTTTCCAGTAACCTCGAGAATCGCATGTGCAGTGCATGAACTAAAGAAGTACCTGTTCTCGTATAAAACAAAATGGGTTTAATCCTTGTATACGGTACCATGAAGGTTAGAATCAAAAAATATGTATTGTAAAGAAAGAAAACGTCTATGCAACAGACGTGGCTCCGTTCCATCATAGAGGAAACAGCTGTGCATGCACGATATATCTGTCGCCAAAGCTCGAAACCGGTGCCGAAGTTCGAAGGTCATGTTATCAAGAATTCATAAAATGAATATCGTTTAAAATTTCTTTAAACTCTCAAGGAAAAGAAAATATCTTTCGGCGCAAGTAAATTAATTCAGGGATTAGTTATTTTGAGGCGGGGAACTACGAAAATCCGTTTTTAAAATTATTGCGAAAAATCCAAGAAAAAACGTTCTTTGATAAAACGTTTTTTGGATTTTTTGCAATAATTTAAAAACGGATTTTCGTAGTTTTCTTTTTTGTCAAAGAACGTTTCTTCTTAACACGTGTTTCTCAATTTCCTGTACACATCGCGGAGAGGGAAATTCCAGCCGCCGGGTTCCATCGCCAAATCCTTTGGCAAATTTTCCCTCCGCTTTCTAGCCGCGTAACAGCATTTATGTGTATGGAACCTTTTCTTCTTTACATAGACATTCTTTGGTTAGATAATCTCCATGTATGGTACAGCGGGATTTGGCGACATGATGATGAGCAGTAAATGAGTCATTTTGTCTTGGCGACAATTTTCAAAATCGTGCCAAAGGCCGTTACCGTATACTAGGAATTTTATACCGCAAAATCTTTTTTTTTTTTTTTTTTTTCTTTCTTTTAATAAATACCTTGTCCATTTTGCAGTAAATAAAAAAAATAGTAATCAGTCATCTAGGCTAACCATGTAATATAACTATATTCGTTAAAATATCATTGATTATTCTAATTCAATTTTTAAGCAATTACCTTTATTTTTACGTTATTCATATCATTTAATGTTGCTTCTTCCCACTAAATTTATTTATCATTAGTAAATAATATTTCCAAATTTCAGGAAATTTTCTCTGGCATAATCCTGAAATTAATTCTAGCAGTATGATGACATCACGAAATTTAACGCACATATTTTTTCCTTATGTATGCTGCGAAATAAATATAAAATACCTCAATTTAGTAAAAAAATATCATTAAATAGATTTCTTTCTTTCATTTAGCTGCAGAATGTCTGCAAAAAAAGCCTTATTTTATTCCAGATTGGGAAGATTCTAATCTCAATCTTCAGTGGAGAAAACAACTCCTATTATAATTATATTTGTGTTTTCAAGTGTTAACATTTTGAACATTATAATTATATTTGTGTTTTCAAGTGTTAACATTTTATTTGTGTGAGGTGTTTTAAAAGACACCTCACACAAATTAAATTTGCCTAAAATCTAACCTAACTTTTAGCATTGCGTTGTGATTTATAAGAACCGGATTAGCCTCATGTTGAACTGGTGATGATCATGAGTAATAATTAAATAAAACGTACAATTGTTATCCAATGTATATATCTTAAATTTTATTAAGTTTCTTAAGTGGAAAAGTAAACAAAATTATCAAACAAAGTGTACCAAGAATAATTAAGAATAAATGTCCTCTGGGATTTATTGAGTAATTAAGTGAATTTGCTACACAGTACAAGTAATACCATAATTAATTTACCTCTTAGCACAGCCAACGTACATTACGTGGATAGACTGGAATTTTCTCGAAACATACCTGGAAAACCTGGAAAAGTCAGGGAATTTCATTCTCCTATTTGAGTGGCAACCCTGTGTATATATTGTTTTTCCCCTGATGTTTTAAGATACTATACTTTCAGGAATGCTTTTTAATTTCATGTAATGACCAAAAAAGTCAAAATATTCTGCAAAAATATAATTTGGGTGTTTATAATAACAAACGCAATGTGTTCCAGGACCTGTGAATACATCTAAATTAATGAAACAATTTTCAAATTTTTCCATTCTTCTGGGTAGTAAATCTGAAGTAAAAACTCCCCTAAAATGTTTTCATTTTTTGAACTATTATCAATAATTTTGTTAGAAATTCCCAGTTTTGATACATATCCTTTCCAGAAATTATTTTTTAAGGTGCATCCTCATTTCTATATTCATTATATTTTGTAAAGCTGATATCAGGATTAAGTATTTGAGATAAAAGTAAAATAATAATAATTGATAAAGTCAGGATTAAGTATTCGAGATGGTTCTGGATCCAAGGAGTTTCTTAATGCCAATACCTGCCTTTCGCCTATGGTGCCCATATATTGTGCTGATGAAGTTATTCTTTCCATTTTGAATGTTTTTACTTGAGATTTTGTGAAAAGTATATCAAAATTAGGTGCCTTCAATTGTGATTTTTAAAGATACATCTTTTTAATTTTCAGATGCTTTTCTAACGTTATATCTTTGGCAATCAAAAAGATAAATGCTCATTTTAAAATAATGTCTCCTTTATATGGAAAGACATTTTTGTAATATTCTTTCACAAAATCATCATCTGCTTCTCCATTTCTTAGCAAGTTGTCAAGCAGCATCATTATCTGATCTTTTTCTGCTTCAAAACCTTTGTGCCTTTAAAGGTCTAATTTATTTCTTAAGCCCTTACCAGTCAGTAATTTGGAAGATCATTTTATTTTAAATTACCTTTCTAAATGCATCTCCGACACATTTTCTTTCTTATCATCAGCCTCTGTAGTCTTATTTCTTTTCTTGAATTTCCGCTTCAGTCTAATTTTTAGCCTGAGAAGTTTGGCTGCGAAGACATCTGGTTTCTCAGCCAAAGTTTGGCTGACGAAAAAGAAAGTTGTCAATTGTACAGCCATATTTTCCTGGCTAAAAATTTGACTGTTCAGTTGACATCTTTCTGTACCCAATCTTGTTTATAAATCACTGACTTTTCTAATCATTTGAGCAACTTTTTCCTCATTAAGGGTAGTAAACAGTTCTGAAGGTTGATCTAAATTATTTTATTTTAAAAATCTTAAGTATTTATTCAAACCAAATGTCAGAAATTTTCCAATACCTTCTATGGCTTTAATGGGATTTTCTTTTATGTCATAGCTATAGGCTTCATCATATCAATAACAAGCTTCTGAAGTTTTTGAATAGATTTAACTATTTCAGTTTCCTTTGTAAACTTATCTTCATTATTTAGCCTAATTTCTTTTTGTAACTTAATAGCCTCTAAAATCTTTTGCATGCCTTTCTTTTTCCTTTTTTAGTATTGTTCATTTATAACTAAGTAAAATTCGCATCATGTAAACATTTCTTTTTGTATAAATGATAAAATTTTAAAAAAAATTATGCCAAAGATGAAAAGATTACAGATCCAAATCAAAACCCTGTCATACCTATGCAGCCTTTCAAGCTTGTAATTTTAGGGGAATCTGGATAAGGAAAAACAATTTTTTTAATGAGTTTACCTTGGAAACTTTTGAATTCTGATGCGTTATACATATATGTTAAAAATATTCATGAAAAAATTATGAAGATTAGATTGGAAATTTTCAAAATTTCAAAGGTATTCAAAGAGAAGATATAAATTTTTCAACTGATAAAAAGATACAAAAGTAGTCTAAAAATATAATAAATATAACAAACCATTCTTTTCAGTGGATGACAAAATAACATTGCAAAAAAGTCACAGATTTGCCCATATGTAATTATTTTCTTCTGAGTACATCCTTGCATGCTATTGTAAGTAATCTGACCTTGAAAAATGTAAAAAAGTTAGAAATGTGTTGTGAATGTGAAAAACAATTTTTACAAGAAGTCTTACTCTTGGCTTACGGCCAAGAAACATTCCACTTTTCATTCTACAACACACAAATACTAAGATTAATTTGTACAATTAGCAGATTTAGATCTGAATAAAAATAATAATTGTATGTGATGATTGCCTTGCAGATCAGAGAAGTATTAAAAAATTATAGTTTTGTATTAGACACAAAAATGTGTTCACCATTCATTTAACTAAAGCCTATTACAACATTCCTAAAGAAATGAAGATCAACAGTAATTATTTCATATTTTTTAATTTGCAACTGAAAGAAATACTTCAGATCATGAGAGAAACTGATGGGAAATTAATACAAAAAAACTTAGTGAAATGCGCAGTACGGGTATTAAAGAATCCAATTATTTCATCATGCTCAATTTTAAAAATCCTAAGATAAGATACAGAAAAAATTTTAATACTATAGAAATTGAAAAGAAATTAAAAGATTGATTTTATGTTAATTGGAAGCATTAAAATTTTTATGTCTCACTCTCTAAATTTTTGTTTAGTTCAAGCTTTTTATCCACCTTTGCATTTATAAATCTCTGTTAAATTGTTTGAATGCTAAAATCAGGAGAGAGAAAGAAGTTTTACTAAAGGAGCAAAAATTTATTAAAAATTTATACTTTTTCCCCACTTAAAAAGTATCTAAAAA